GCTGCTAACGCTGCACGCCCGCAGCTTTTCCCCGTCCGCTTGGACGTGCGTTGAGGGGAACCGAGCGGCAGACGTCGGCTTTCGCTCTTAATTACCTGGGGGGACGCCTTCCAAAGCGGATCGGAACCCAGCCGCGGTTGCTGATGGATGCCGGCGGCTCTGCGCGCCGCCGTTGCTGCTGCTCGGGCTGAAGCGGGAAGCTCAGCAGGCAGACGACCGTCGGTGAAGGATGCCCGGGCTGAAGCGGCTGCTGAGAGCCAGGCTGGGCTGCCGGCGATGCTCCGCCGCGCAGTGCCTCTTCTGGGGGGTGTGCTGGGCGGTAGGGGGCGGCCTCTTCGCGTTCTTCTTCCTGGCGCACGGGGGCGTCTTCTCGGGGCGCTGCACGGACGAGCAGAGTCGCCGGATCCTGGCGAGGCTGGTAGGTGGCAGCATTGGAGTGGAGGGGTGTAGGACATGGGATGACCGACCTCTGCCCTCAGGAGTGGACCCCGAGTGGGGCCGCTGGTCTGAGGCTTGAGCGTAAGGGCTGCCCTGGCAAAGGAGGCCTGTTGGATCCAAAGTGGCATGCTTAGGCTTAGGCTTTGCCTCCAGCTGTTCAGGGCCACAGGGATGTGCCTTAAAGATCATCCCATCGACTTGCATTTGCAGTGGTTCCTTCACCCTCTTTTCTTCCAACGTTCAGTGAGAAATTACACATCAGGTGGGAGAATCATTTTCTGTGATCTTAACCCTGAGGGAGTCTCCCTCAACCTGGCCCCCTCCAGATGTGCCGTGTCACAACTTCCAGAATTCCAATCCAGAAAGGCTTTCTTGCCTAACACATCTGGACCTGGCTGAGAAAGGCTGTCTTAAAGCAACAAGGCAGGAGCATGAAATTGCCCTCCTGGATCATCCTCTCCCTGTGGATATGTCTCAAGGGAAGAGCCATGGCCGGGGGTGCCTTTCGTAAACTTCTCTATAAGAAGCATCACCTTGTACATTGTTAGTGTAACGGCTTGGGCTGCTTTCCCAAATGCGGGGTTACCCCAGATATAGCGCATTTAAGTCCTCAGGATTCTCAGCCAGCACATCTGAAGGGTATCAGGCTGGAAAAGTCTGGATAGAATATTGGATTAAAATGGGGCAGATCTGGGTTGAAATTTCCACGCAGTCATGGAATTCATTCCATGCACAGTCATCCTCACCTCTCAACCCAAAGCACCTTACTGGGTTGTTGTGAAATTAAAACAGAGAAACGGCTTGATTGTCCTGTGTGCTTCCACAGGAAAAAGACATGACAAAAATTGTAATACATTAAATAAATGGTACATGTTACAGAAATCAAGTGCTTCATACTTCAAGTTACTGCTCTAGGGAACAGGATAAAGTATGTAGCATGGCGAGAATGGGGCTGGGCTCATGTGAGGGTTTTCTCCATGGAAATCTCTGACTCCAGAGCTATTAACCCTAAGAGGGAGGTTTTATTCCTACAGTTAAAAAGAGTTGTGGGCAGGAATGTATATTCACTACGATTGCAGGAGGAATGGTTAGCGAAGATGACGGAACTAGCAGAGATGGCAAAATTAACTTGTTTGCTTACAGAAAGATCAACTATATTTATTAGTGACTGGAAACCCGTTATGGGCTTTTTGCTGAAAAAAGAAAAGAAATGAATTGGTGATTTATAGATTTGATGAATAGAAAAGGTAGATTATGGAAAGGAGGACATTTTCTTTTAACCTTAGAGAGAGAGGGTAAAATATAAATGTACTTGGAACTGCTGTTAAGAAGATCAGAAGCTGCTTCTTTATTACTATTTCTTTTTCACTTTCTTATTACTTTTCCCTATTCTTCTCTTCAGTTCAAAACTTGTATTGTTTTTATTCTGCTGAAAACTTCTTTAATAAACAACCTATTAAAAAAAGGATTGCAACAAAAGAGAAAAGTTGAATTCCCCTTCTTGTGTGGCAAGATCCCATCCTTTTATACCTCCCAAATGACCATAATTTAAACTAAAATTTAAACTATGCTTTGCATCATATGAGGCTAGAGGTACGCCAAATTTCAGTTGGTTCATAAAGTAAGCTTCAAGCTCACGAAAGATGATGCCTTGTAATACAATTTGTTAGTTGGAAAAGTGCTACCAGACTCCCGATGTTTTGCCGCCATAGACTAACATGGCTCTCCTCTTACAATAGAGTGGCTGTTAAGCAACTAGCACTGGAAAGATGCAGGTTCAAGGCCATCTTCAACCATGGACACTCACTGGGTCCAGTCACTCTCAGATCAGCCTAACTCACAGGGTTGGTATGGGGGAAAACTTGGAGGAGGGAATTCTTCATATGCTACCTTGAGCTCCTGAAGTAAATCTAGCAAGCAAAGAATTATGGTGGTATTGACTGCTAACATATCTTCATCACCCACTTGTGCTAACTTCTTACGTGGCCAATAGCACAGATAGCCATTTCTTTAAGTCACATCAAGGACTGTGTTAGAGGGGAGCCTATACATTTGATAATGAGGTAAAATATTGATAATAAGTCAATAGTAGTAGTAGTAGTAGTAGTAATCCTAACCTTGTGCAATGGCTCTGTCACTGCTTTGAACCCATCCCTGTGGCAAGGAAAGTGTTGAACCCTTATTCACTGCTTCCTTTTCTTTTTTTAAAGTCAAGAGAGACATGTGTTTCAACTCCAGAAAGTAGGCATATGCTGCTTTAAAAAAAAAAAAAAGTAAAACAGGTTCCAATTAAGTGGCTCTCTGCTATCTGCTTTCTCTACTTTACGGCATGCGGGTCCTTCCTCTCCACTCCAGTCTGCCAAATGTAACTGATTACTTTTACACAATGCTAAATGGTGACCCAAATACGATCAAGGATGAGTCTTTTGAGCAGAGCCTGCTAAGAACTCCTGAATGCTTGATGTTCTGAATAGAAGATTTGTGAATACATTGGCATGAAGGCACTAGGAGACAAGTACTGTAGTCCATGCTGATGAAGTTTTGCCTGGATTTTGGAGGGCGGGGGGGAGGAGTCAGGCTGCTGATTAAGGAAAACAGTATCTTGCCTGAAAAGCATGGGCAGCAGTTAGTGTCAATTAAACAAGACAGAGTCTTCAGCTGATGGATTTCATTGATAAAACTCACTCAGGACAGACAAGAACCATTTACATATCCTAGTGGGATGTAAATAAAACAGACAGGAACCATTTACATTTCCTAGTGGAAGGTAGATAAAAGGATGAGTTTCAGTGCATTTATTTTGCTTTTCTGAACTATAATCTATTTCATGAGATGTATCTGATTTGTTTCAACAAACTAATTTAGCAACTTTCCCGGAAACTCTGGAGATAGATTTTAGGAATTGGTTCCATTTCTTTGTTGTGATAAAAGAAGCAAGATTTTCCTGTATTATCTATAATATATCACAATATAATATATGGCAACATATTGATAAAGTAGAAACATTATTCCATTATTTGCATTTCTTTCCACAATGAAATCTTTTGTTCCTAAACAAGATGCTTAGGGTGTTAAAATGAATGCTAAATTGAATTTGTTTGATCTGTTGTAATAGTACTTTATTAAACTCTGATTCTCAGAGATTCTGGGTGGCTCACAACCATCAAATCAAAGAAATTACAATAAAATCGATAAAAGATAAAAGATGGCAAGTGTGACAGACCAGATGGAATGGAGTGAATGGCTCACTCTCCCTCCCACAATCCCTTGGGTGAAGAGCCAGGTCTTCACAGCTCTTCTAAACAACAGC